CTCCCCTCCCCACCAAAAAAATCCCCCCAGTCCCACTAAAAATACTTCCCATGGCCTCCGCAGCTCAGGTCCTGTGCAACTGCATGGTCCCGGCACACTCTTGCCAGATCCTATGTATTTCTTTACAGACCAGTGTTCATCTTCTTTACGGGCAAATCTCATCACACAACTCTCCTACCTCCAACCTGCCCTGAGAAAAAGTCCCCCTGACCAGCTGTTAGTGATCAGATCCCCCTCACTTATTTGCCCCCTTTTCCAGCCCCTACCTCCCCTCTATGCTGTAGTTGCCTTGACTAGGGGTGGTTGTCCACTACACGGGGGATGCTAGAAATGTGTAGAGATGTGTTTTGATTGATAGTTCCAGAAGGATAGGGAAAGAGGGAGAGGGAGTGTCTTAGTTCTTTCGGCCGACTATAACAAAATACTATAAATTGCATGGCTTATAACCCCTGGAAATTCATTTCTTATAGTTCTGGAGCCTGCGAAGTCCAAGATCAAGGAGGTGGCAGTTGTGGTGTCAGGTGAGGGCCCATTCCTCATAGGTGATGTCTTCTAGCTACATTCCCACATAATGGAAGGGGCAGATGAGCTCTCGAGGGTCCCTTTTATAGGTAAACTAATCCCATTTCTGAGAGATCCGCCCTCATGACCTAATCACCTCCTGGAGGCCCTATGTTATCTACCATCACCTTACAGTTTGAGGTTTTCACATATCAGCTGGGGGGCAGGGGGGTATATGAGCAGTCAGTTCACAGCAGGAGGTTACTGATTTTTCCAGTCTAGGGCAGGAATGCCCAGTGTCCCGAGCCTCTCACCAGAGGTGGATAAAGAAGAGTCCAGAGTCCAGGCGCCCCCAGTCCCACTAAAATACTTCCCATGGCCTCAGCAGCTCAGGTCCTGTGCACCTGCGTGGCTCTGGCCAGGAATGCTCCTTCTCCCAACCAGGCCCTTGTCCCACACATCTCCCTTGTCCCACGTGACCACCCCCGACTCCTCTTTCAAGAACTTCAATATCACTTCCCGGAAGAAGATGCTCCTGGACTCATTAGACTAGGTTGTGTCTCTTTATTACACAAGCTCCACTCACAGATCCTAGGACTCAGTGCACTGGTAATTAAGCAACATGTACCAAATTCCTGCCCAACAACTCTGACCTCAGGTAAGCCTCCAGAGGGCAGGACAGGCAGTGCCTGGCTTGCTGGTATCTACATTCACCGTGCCCTCAGAGAGCCTCTTACCTCACAGATATGCTACAATCTCAGCAAACAAAGAAGCTCCTTTCAAAACATCTTCTCCAAACACAGTCCCATTCCTGGGTTTAACCCTCCCTAAGCTGTCCCCTGGAGTCTCTGCCAGTAGTTTTCTTTCTACCGCTCACCTTACAAGACACAACAGGTTTATTTTCCCAAATTGTCCTGATCATAATGATCTAGATCTAAATTCTATACTGACCCTTCAATGCCTAAACAGTTAAGTCCTAGTTTCTTTCCTTCTTTTTTTCTCTCCTTCCTTCCTTCTTTTCCTTCTTAACTTCCTTTTCTTTCTTTTCTTCCTTCCTTCCTTGCCTTCTTTCCCTTCTTTCCTCCCTCCTCCT